CTGAAAGAACAGCCTTAGGGCTGCAAATTCCGAGCCTCGCCCAATGAGCCAAAACAATGGGGGACTATCGGTAGCAGTGGGGAGGGAGATCAATTTTTTTTTGCCCCTGTCACTATCATGGCCAATTTCGAAGTACAAATTCACAAGAAAGTACAATGCTGTCCAATTGCAAAAGAGATGAATGAACTTGAGAGCAGAAAGAGATAAAGACGAAGAAGAAGAAGAAAGAAAGAAGAAAAAGGTGTACACCAGGAAAAGACCAATGACAATTCCCCCTTCTCTCGCCAACCACCTCCTCATTATGTCCTCCTCTCTTATTCAAATTGTCTACTGCGTGGGCACGAGGAAGGCAGCCCCAAAGCAATGGTACTAAGCGCTTGCACAAGAGAGAGAGAGAGAAAGAGAGGCTGAAGGGCAAAAATGGAATATGGATAAAATTGCGGCCGCGATCTATTTTGCGGTTGAAATTGTTTTTTTAATTTATTTGAGATTTTTCCTGGAAAGATCACAAACAAAATCTACAAGCTCTTCTATTTGCAGATTTTTTCACGCCTACGCAGCATCGTGTTCGTGTTCGAAGGCGAACCTGGACATGTTCGCCCAAACACGAACGAACGCCCAAAACCCTCCGAACGCAAACATAAAAAAATAGGAAGAAAAATTTGAAAAACATATATGTCTTGTAAAACAACAATACAAGCAACTTTGCCTTGGAGTCATGTTCAAATTCTTAGCCAAACGTACGTAAAACATCCAAAACCAAAAAACGATTTTTTTTTTTTATTTTTTTTTTATGAAAAAGAAATGTTCGCCGGTACACGCTCGCGGGCTGTTCGTGCGAACATGGAGGTGCGCGAACACGTTCGCTGTGCTACTCAGTTTCACGCATTCTTCTAAGCGTGCAAAATGAAGTTGAGAGTACTTTTCCTGTTGGCCCACACATGGCTGAGTAGCAAAAATGGGAAATGTGGCGAACCAGCGCAGCGAAAATTTCGTAGTCTTAATGATTTTTTGAAAATTCTCAGATTTTTTCCTTTTCGCTTGTTGTTTTGTTTTTCTTTGCCAAACACGGTTCTTTTTATTAAGGGCTCAGAGCCCAAGGCAAGAATACAATGAAAGTGAGTCGTAAATTCAGGGGCCACGAGGTCTCCTGCTTCACTTCGGCAACTGGAGTCTGTCCCCTGTGAAAAAGGAATAAAAAAGGAAACAATGGAAAAATTAAGGAATACCCAAAAATCATAGCCCTAACCCTAATTTAGATCCAAAATTCCTAAAATACGCCTAAGACTCTGTTGATGTAAATATCTCTTATATACGAACTTTTACAAATAGGCTCTTACCAATAAAACAAAACACGAGCAAAATGCCTAAAACGGTGCAACAGAACAAAGATTAACCCTAAAAATTTTAATAGGAACAAGAACACTCGACACTCGTCTCTAATGATAGAGCAGATGACCAAAATAGTAAAATACCAAAAGAAGCAGTCTTTCCACGCGAACACACACAACTCACACCCAACAAACAACGCCCAACAAAGGCGCCGTCCGCGGTAAGAATGAATTCCAGGATGAAAATTCGCAGCCCTAAGGCTGCGGTATAATGGGCTTCAGCGTGTGTCAAGGTGTCGTATTTTCGGCAGCGGGCGATCAAGATGCAAAGTGGGTTCTTAGGGGGCAAAAAAAATTGGGGGACCGGTCCTTGGCAAAATTGCGGACTACCTACAGCTAGCTCTGGTAGAACCGGGACTTTTGGAAAAAGGAAGGACTGGTCCATGGGTGGAAGCGGACCCCAAAACGAAGTGGGGGGCGTTGGACTGGTCCTCGGGTGGAAGCGGACCCCCAAAAGAAGTGAGGGAGCACACACAGCCTTCGGGCATACATACTTAGCTTGCGAACTATACATGGCCTACGGGCTACATACACAAGTTTCCACACATGGTGCTAACTGTACATCTAGCCTTCGGATATATACACATAGATTGCGAACTATACAACTATCAGACTGGGGGGGTCTATCACTGGGTAGGGTCTAGTATCGTAGTAGGTGCGAGGCTGGTCACCGGAGTTCCTACTGATATTCGGATAGAACCGTCTAGTGGCTTAGGCTTAGACCCTAGGCTAAGGGTAGGGTATAAGTCGCTTGGGCTAATCCGAGTTCCGCCTGGCCTTGGGTAAGCTAGGAAAGGACGGTAAGACTGCTTCAATGACTGCCGCCCTGTCTGAACCTAGGGCCTAGAGTCTCTTGAGACCTGTAGTACATTGTCTGGGCCTGGCGTCCGAAGTCCTCGTTCGACAAGGCTCGTCCGACTCTGCTTCCGCCAGGGCTGGGTAACCAGCCCTGGTGCCTATCACTGCTGTTCGGTCCAAGTTACCTGCCCATTGGTAGGGTGATGGTCCTGAGTGCTCGTCCCACTGAGGTAGGATAGTGGGATAGGGGGTGCACTAGGAGTATTGATGTGAGGATGGGATGGGAAGGTGGTCTCATATTCCAGGACACCCACGGCCTACCACTCCAGGTGATCACTGTGCAGTCAGTGACCGGCCCCTACAACACCATAGACTTAAAAAAAAAAAAGAAAAAAAAAAGTGAGGGCATGTGAACTGCAAAAGGGCCCTCAGGCCCAGGGGTTCAGGCCCGTCTTCACAAAACATTGAGGTCAGGCGCAACGAAACAGGCATTTTGCAAGAGGCCACTTTGGCGATTTTCTGTGCTCGGAGGAACCCGCAGAAAAATCTGAAATTTCGAGAATCCATAGATGAGTAAAGTTCTTTCCAGGAAAAATATTATTACATTTTCAAAAAATCATTTGGACCATGAAATAATTGTCGCGCCGACTCGGCACATTTTCCATTTTTGCCACTCAGCCATGTGTGGGCCAACTGAAAAAGTACTCCAAATTCAGTGAGTCTCAGAAGAATGCATGAAAAAAACTGAAAAGTAATTTTACTTTTGCATTCATGAAGAGATTATTTGTGCGATCGTCTTTGATGTATATCCAATCTTTGAGGGGCATTTGTCGAAACACTGCATCTTTCAACGACAGTTGTGAAGTTGTTTGAAAAGTCGTATAAAAAAAATGTGAAATAAAAGAAGACAAAGACAACGCCAAACTTGATAGAAAGATGGGTGAAGGATGGTGGCAAGGTGGGGAGAAATAGATAGGAGGAAAAACAAGGAAAAGAAAAAAGAAGAAAGAAGAATAAGGAATATGAGGATCGCCGAAAGGTGGAAGGGAGGATGGTAATCACTGCCATCGATTAGTCCAGGTACATTCTCAAGAGCTTGAATGTGGCCGCTCGAGCTGTCCACCTTCTCGCACCTTTGTCTCACTTCCACAATACTTTTCCCATGATGCATATCGTCAGAGACAACCTTCGTTCTTGCTACTGTGCACAGAAAAGTTGACCAGGAAAGCTTTAGTTGCGGTGCATGAAAAAGAGTGTTGTAAACAAGAGTGTTCTGCATGCATGAAGAAAGATGTTTGATTGATTGATTGATTGATTGATTGATTGATTGGTCGATTGATTGATTGGTGGGGGAGGGTTCAAACGAACGTGCTGTTTTTTTTCTTTTACTTTTTTTTGTGATTGATTGATTGATTGATTGGTGGGGGGGGTCTCTCCCAGGGTTGTCGAGCCCCGGCCCCGGGGCCCCGGCGGGGGTCCCGGGGGCCGGGGGTCGGCACCCCTGGCCCCGGCAAAAAAA